GCAATCTCAGTACCCCTTTGAATTTATATTCAAAAAAGTCATACTGATGAAGAATGCGATTTACAAATATTCCGACTACCTGTCAATTCATCTGTGATGATATCGAGCTTGTCACTACTCCTATCCATATCTTCGTCGACTACAGTTGTTCTGTATATGTGTATCAATTGTTTATTAACAAGTCCGGTGTGCTCCATTAATCCGTGTAGACTCATGCATGGTTACCAGTTTTGTATAAACTTTCTTGTTACAGTATTTTTGTGTTATTACAACTCATTGCATGCTAGCAAATCATAAAGTGTTGTTTGTATGAGATTGTGTTCGGCTTCTCAAAAAAACTAACTTTTTCAAAGGCTTATTTTTGAGAAATTATAATTTATCAAGTTAATTCCAACTGTATGTCTATAACAACAGCGATGAAAAGCAACTTAATGCAGTAGCGAACTTAACAAGTCCTTTAATCTCGACATTTGGTAAAATTAATTTAGGAATCTTCCTTTTTTCGACAAAAAAATCGGACTTTTTTCGCGTAGATTGTAAGTTTCATTTGACGAAAGCTCAGTATCTATCTATATCAATTGATTTTATGAATTTATCAGTTCTTTCGTTTTGCTCTGAGGTGCTGAAAATAGGTACAGAAATTTGTCATGCTAATGAATATGATATCAAATCAAAAGCTATATTGATTTCATTAATTTTTAGCACATTCTTTGTTGCTTGATGTCGTACACTCGTGGTTTGGGCTTGTTAAAATGGGACGTGATAAAATCTCGAAGAATGGTTTCGTATTTATTAATTTGTACTTTTCGCTCAAGTGTTTTGTTTTATGTATCTGATTATGTTGGTGGAAAATCTGATTTTTTTCAATGACATCTAATAGCACAACTATTGAGGAATCCGAATGTTGAGGAATCCCTCGTTTTCCTTTAGCTTGTTTTTGAACTAGCCGAGCATGGTGGGTGCGTTAGCGAAAAAAAGTACAAACAAAAACAAAAAAGTATACCACCTTCTTGCAGAAGTTTAGTCAATATTGTAAAATTCAAACAATATTGAATACATCCAACAAAAATCTGTTCAGAAAGACTTTGACTGCTGAAAATCACAAGTTCTGAGGGGACTAACAGCTCAAGTCGAGTTTTTATAACGACAAAAGACTTTCAGCAAATGGTGGGATCATGTAAAATGCATCAGTAATGTACTTAAAGCAAGTAGCACCTCTTAGCACATAATAACGACTTAGATCATAGCATATCTGCTGCTTTACCTATCCGTAGTTGCACCTGTAACTGTCA